GTCCCCCCCCCCCCCCCGAGACCCCGCAGAATCACACGTAAGGAACTCTTTTTTCCCTCCAGGGATGGTGGCGGCCTCCCCCCCTGCTACCTCACCCTGCCATGTCTCTACTCAACTCACCATGGCCTGAACTTGACTTCACTGCCCAACCAACCTCTCACCGCTCTCTCCGGCAGCAGCAGCAAGAAGCGGCGGGGGCGGCGGCGGCGGCGGCTACGCGACGAGCATGAACTCCCTCGGCTTCGGTTCTTCTTCCGCTACGGGGACTGCCGCCTTTAAGGGCACCGGCACCGCCGCAGCAGCCTCTACCGCCGGTGTTACTGCCTCGCTCGACAGGGGCAGCACGACGTGGGGGAGAACTCGTGTCGCCACGTACAACGGTGCCGCTTCCGGTGGGAGCGGCGGCGGCGGCGGCGGCTGGACCGGCGCGACCGGGAGACTCTATTCCTCGTTTAGCGGGGGCGGCGGCGGCGGCGGGGGGGGGGATTTTTCGAGGGGAACGGCGGCGGCGGCGGCGGTACCGGCATGGGGGGCGAGCGCCGGCAGCAAGGCGGTGCTTTCGGCTCTTCGCGCTCTGCAGGATAAGATACGGAAGTGAGTCGGGGTGTGGGTGTGGTGTAGGAGGGGCCGACGTTGATGGGACACCGCTTCTTTTTTCCAACTAGCGGTAGACGATGTGCAGCCTTAGTAGTCTTTAATGTTGGACTCGGTTGCCAGCGGGGGCACCAAGCGGTGAACAGCCTTACGCTTTTGTGCGTGAGGTTGGGTTATTGTCTGTTTGAGCTGAGAGCGAGAGTCTTGGACTTTTTGAGCCGCTGTTCAGTCGGTTCGACTTTGGGAAGTTGTTTTGACCGCTTTCCCAGTCTACCTGTTCGTGAACGCCAAAAGCGGCGTTCAACGGGCGAAAGGCCGCATCAACAGAAGCGACAAGAGCACGACATGCCTCCGCGTGTCGGCTCGAACGGCAAGACCAAACATATCGGCAGTTCGCACCTCATGCTGCCGGACACGGGGCTCTCCGCGAAGATGCTCTCTGCGCCCGCGGGTGTCGCGCCCATCGTTCAGCCTGTCGTCGAGTGTGCTTCTGCCGCAGCGGCGGCAGCGTTTGCTTTTGCTCTTTATGACCATTTCGTTGGCTGTTGGCTACTGAGCTGTATCCCCATTTATCTTTTTTTTTGCCATTTCGTTTGCTGCTGAGTACTGAGCTGTACCTTCATTCATCGTACCTCGGCTGCCGTTTCTTGTGCCCTTGGTTGAATGTTTTTAATCATTTTTGTTGTTTTGCTTTTATCCTCCTGTGTTTTGTGCCGCCCTTAGGCTTGAGAGCGAGCGAGATCGCGCGGCGGTAGAGGCTGGCACGCTCAGGAGACAGATCGCGGCCCTGCAGACGGAAAACGACCGCACCGCACAGGTCTACGCACCTAACCAAAGCAGGCGCCGCTTCCTCCTCGCTAGAACAGTGCAACCATGTCCGCGACGCCACTACCACACCCCACTTAAGCTGCTGCCGCCCCCACCTGTAGACCATCGAAACAGATAGATACGACGGCCTGCTTTTCTTTTCAAGCATCGACGGCCAACAGGAGCTAGGGGGCAGAACAATATATTCCCATTTGTTTTTGTCAATTTTCTGTCGTTAATTTTTTTGTCAACCTGTTGTGTGGCCGTGGGGACTGAACTGCTTGTGGTCGCCCGTGCGCTCTGCCGATCACATGAACGAAGCATCCGCTGATGACGTCACGCGAAACGCAGGTGCAGATGGCGGGGCTCCAAGAGAAGTCCCTGGCCTCGCGGTTGGCCTACGAGAGACTGCAGGCCGACAAGGCTGCTTCGGACTTGCGGTGAGCCTAAGCCTACAGCCAACGTCAATGGCTGGCGTAAAAGTAGCACTTGGCGACTCCCCCTCGGAGAGCCAAAGTTAACGAACACCGTGGGGTGGAGAGTGGCTTATCCCGTCTTGCTGCTGTGCTGGATCACACACGCTCGGATGCGATCACCCGGCTGACAAGAAGGCGCTGTTCTGCTGTGGCCTTGGGGGGCCTGCACGGTTTTGTTGGTTTGCGTTGCATGTTGCAGAGGAGGAAGGGTTTTTCGATGGGATGGGATGAAGCCACACTCAACCTTGGCGTACGCCTCGCATCGCCTTCTCCCTCTTGTTTATCTCTTCTGCCTGCTTCTGTTTTGTTTGTTCGATTGTGCGCAGGCTGCGCAAGGCGGAGGAGCAGAAGCGGCAGCTCGCCAGGGAGGCGGCGTCAGCCAAGGATAAATCGGCAGCGGCAGAGGTGTACCATCTACCGTAGAGACTTTAATTCAGAAACACAGACGCATGCAAGAATACACGCATGCACAGTCCTCCCTAGCGGGGTCCTAGACCATGGCCTTTAGAAATAAGTGTTTCCTGTCTTTGACCGCACCGAGACTTGCATACTCTCCTTGATCAGTCGGTTAGTGAGGTTGATGCCAATCACACACGAACACACACGTGGCCGAGTTCGACAAGGACCCCAAGGTGACGGCGGACATGGTCAAGATCGGCACACAAGTGGAGTACACGGGCAAGAAGGGCAGGTCGGCGGGGAAGAAGACGACGGTGGTGACGGACGCGGAGGCCCTGTGGGCCATGCTCTACGCTGACGACGCGGCCATCGTCTCGCGCTCACCGGAGAGTCTCGAGAAGATGATGTCGGTCATCGTGCGCGTGGCCGGCCTGTTCGGACTGATGGCATCGGAGCCAAAGACTGAGATCATGTGCATGCTGCCGAAAGGGATGGAGGAACGCCCGTTCACGGTCAGCGCCGCCGGCCAGGCGTACAAGCAGACAGATCGGTTTGTGTACCTCGGACGTACCATCTCCGCGGACGGGAAGGCCGACCGGGAGATCACGAGCCGCAGCTGCCGAGCGTGGAAGTGCTACCGCCGGAACAGTGCTTCGATGTACGACAGGCGACGGGCCGACCGCCAGCTCAAGATCCGGCTACTCCAGGCTGAAGTGGTGCAGACTCTCCTATATGGGTGCGCCTCGTGGAGCCTAACAGCGGAGCACTACACGAAGCTCAATGGGACCCACCGCCAGTTCCTCACACGGTGCATCGGCTGGAGCAAGCGGAAACGCTCAGAATGCCCCCTGTTCTATGCCCAGGCCCTCATCCAGGCAGGCTGCGAGGAAACCATCGAGGCCACCGTGCGCAAACGGAGACTGTGTTTCGCGGGCTTCGTTATGCGCATGGAGGACAACCGCCTCCCCAAGCGCATGCTG